GGGGGGGGGGGGGGGGGGTTTGTTGATAAAATTAGAGAAAACATTACTCCCGAAATGTGTAGAAAATATTCAGGTAGAAACTCGGTACGCATTGAAATAGTACTTCATCTCAAACATTCTAAGGACTTTCGAATAGTTCATGCCTCTCATTTTATGACGTATCGAATAACGTGCGGTGTTGACGCAAAACTATCCGAAGTTTTCGCATAAATCTCCGACGGATATTTGAAAGTTAACACAAAATTGTTATCGACCGCAATTAACGAATGAAGTAATTTAAAATAAATCCCGTTCCAAATAGCTGGCTACACATTCATTGATTTAATTACCGCCGTGGACAATAAACTCACACATGAATATTATTTTAACAGCTATTTTATGTATGCATGAACTGTATCACCAACGTACCCTAAATTTTTTTAAAGAATGAGATTCAGCTTCAATTTTTATTTTTGTATTTAAAAAGCTATACTGAATATCCAAACAGAGCGTTTTGGAGGGGCCGATGAGAGCTAATATAACCAACCTCCGACTCCATCGGTCGTACGAAATTAATGAAGTTTTAAGTGCGTTTGTACCAATTTTTGGGTGAATTTATTATTATTTCATTGTTTTGACGTGTTCGCGATCAGTGGACCAAGTAGAAGGACCTGAGGATGGAACTAGTTAGTTCCAAAATGGCCATCACCGGGTAGAAACTGAATCAAAACATTTCAAGATCAGGATACACAGGTATACTATAACGATGCACCGCGTTTAGCAGGAAGGAACCAAACCACACTACTGTCAGATTGACTGCATGAGTTAAATTTTTTACAGGAGAACGTTTGTGCGGTTTTATTTGAAAATGTAAAGGAATTCGCTACGTACTATGCAGAATATTCACTAAAATGCGCACAAAAATCCGTACAACCGTCTCCATAAAAAATTTAAATTGCCCGATTAAATTTTTCAGTTGGAGATTGGCTTGGTTTGGTTCCTTACTGCTTAACGCGGTCCAATCAAAGACTCCAGATAAAGAAGGACATTTGGACTGAGTTAAGCAGAAAGGAACCAACCCACATTTTGGAAAAAATTGAGTTATGAGTGGTTTTGAACTTAACCACTGCTCTACTATCTATCGCCAAAAATTCAAAGTTTTTGTTGGAGCAAATTTTGCAGAAATTGAACTTGAAGTTTATATTTTACATTGAGTCTTATGCAGGAGCCAAACTTAAAACCTCTTTTTCTCGGCTCGATCCCGATGTGGCTTGGTTCCTTTCTGTTTAACTCCGTCCATTTCCTCTTCATCATGCACTGTGACAATTCGTTAATCTAATTAACTTGTTTAGCTGTGTTTTCTGATTGTAACTGCTCGCTGAAAATGGGCTAGGCCCGAAATGCATCCAAGCTAATAAATTATTCTTCATCAACCGTATTTTGCGTGTTTCGGTATACTTTAACCCCATTTTCATAAAGAAGGACTTGCCAAATTGACAGAGGCAAAGATGCACCCGTCGGGAATTTACCTTGCGAGGAACTCCTGGGTTATCCAAACGTGCCGCACGGGTGATTCACACTTCACGCTCACTAGAGCATCACTGATTACCCCGTCAAAAAAAATCAGATTCTACTTAACTTGCAAAATCACTTGGAGAAATACCAATACAAAAATTTCCGTTTTAAAGCCACACGATGCCAAAGACAGTTGAATGGTTTCGATTGTGGTTTGCATGTAATTTTAAATGCAGCGTATGCATCCCTCAATACAGTTGTCCCAAAACTGAGTAACTTCACGTCTAAAAGGGCCAGGATAAATGTAGCGCTCACTCACCATCACGACCGATTGACGGAAAATAAACTATCACTTTCGCTGGGTGGCTCACTGGTTCGCGGGAAATTGAACGAGACGTGACGGCGGACTCGCGACGCGGCGCAGCGTGGACGCACGGCGGGAGCTGAGAGAGCACTGCCCAGCCCCCTTCAACTCGGATAGCACTCAAGGTACCACTGTTAGTTCACCTCCGGCCGGTGCTATTCGGCAGAGCGCGCTAGTGTCGTAGTCTTTGGACCTGTCTCCCAGCAAGGCGAGCTGTAACCTTTGACCCTGCACCTGTTTACACTATTGCCGCTGTCGGCCATTATTGCCAGAATCACGATAAGTTCGGAATTTGTTAAGTTAATAAATGTGCGTTTAGCTTATGTTTGGTTGTTGTATGGCGATTGTAATAATTCTCCAGTGTCATCCCAAATTCGGAGCATCTTTTCTGTAAGTACCCTTTACCAAAGTACCCTCTTTTACTTATTTTCTGCATTATTCGGAATGCATACGTTTTGTTGGGCTTTCCCCCATCAATGTAATTTCTTTTAAGCTCTGAAGGTGCCTTATGCTGGTGCATATCCATCAAAAGCTAATGTTTCTGAAGGATCCTTATTATGAATGAGGTCCTGAATATACTTTGTACATTCATGGAAAGCTCATGAGAAAGTCACAGTATCAATCCTTGATGTTTCAGCTTTAACTGAACTGAAAAGAATTTCAAAGTAGGTACTTTCTCAACTGCACACCATTAGATTGAATTACTTCTAGAAAATGTTCGCTAGCAATGTGATTGTAAGCCGATGTGTTGATTACAGCTTCAGTTTATTGAGCACTTGCTTACCTGATTGCGATATTGTAGGATTTTTCCTTGATATGTGTAGGAACATTTTGAAATAGGTGCTAGCTCAGTATACCTACTTCGCAACAATTCTGCCTCCTTAGGAAGAAAGATTAGTCTTTTTCATTGCTGTTTACAACCGGTCAAAAAATTTGTAAATTTTTCAGCCTAAATAGCAGGTTGTAAAACCTGTAAATAGCCACTTTAATAGCTACCTGTATGAAATCCCTCTACTCAGCTCTTCCAGCAGATTTGTACCAGGGTTACTATCCTACCTCCCATCCCAGAATGACCCTGTAAAGTTATTAAACTCAGCATTTGTACTTATCTATGCAGTATTTCATTAAAGTTAATCTTTCAATTTTTCTTCTTTCAGGCGTAGCCAACGATGTTAACTGCAAAGCAACGAAGGGCCTGCGCCAAGTGTGGACATAGCAGCAGTAAATCAACCCGGTCTTTCCATCGAATTCCTAAACCAGGAGGAGCCAATACGGAAAAGTAAGCTTTCTCCTATCATTTAGTAAATATTAGTTGTACAAATTGCTTGCGAACCAGCAGGCATTGAGGTTGTTGCTTCTTTTAAAAATGTGATTCCTTTTTTTCAAACAAGGCTGCTATTAGTGTTGGAGAATTAGCAACAATGCAAAGCAAGAATTGATATTCATCAGCTGATGTAGTTTTGTCTTGCATATAAGCTGTCTCTTTTGCCTCTTTTGTTCTCTAAATTAAATCGCTTCGGACCTGAACTTTCATCCCTCATTTCTTTTAAATAAAGGGATCAATGGATTTAAAATCTTTTCCTACAGGTAATTAATCAAGTGGCTGATTTGTTAACTAAACCTGTGTCGGTTTGCATATCCAAGGAACTCATTGTGAGACTGGGACTCAGACTTCAGCGAGATTCAAATCTGGAGTTCCAGACAAAATTCTAGTCAAACTTTTTTGAGAGAATTCTAGTATAAAAATTGCTTTGCACAGTTCGTTTTAAAATGAGGTCTGGCAAGGTTTTTCTCATCTGTAGCAAAAAATGTTGGACCTGCATGTTTTCCCAGTTAGCATCTTTTCATAATGGAATTAATTTCTGAAGAGGCAAAATATGGCAATGCCGTGAGAGGAAAGATTAATACGTCTTATATCAGCTGATTTTTTTCAGAACCACTGGTGCGACCTAATCATAAAAATATGCACTGCTACAGAATTGTTTCCTTTTCAATTCTAATTTTTGAGAAGGCGTGATGGAGAAATTGCAACAGCGCGAAGCACAAATTAATATTCATCAGCTGATTTAGTTTTGTCTTGTATAACCTGTCCATTCTGCCTCCCTTGTTCTCTAGAATGAATAGCTTGTGCCCCAAACTTTCATACCTTATTCCTTTTGTAAAACTCATTTCTTTTCTTGAACTGGGTCACGTTCAAAAGGGACCCACAGCATTTAAAACCCGTATTCAGGAAATTAATATACATTATTGCAAAATTCCCTTTACTTCTGACAATATTCCAAGTAGCCTCCACAAACTACTCCTTTCATGCTAGATAGAACCCAGATCTCTAATTTTGATCATAAGTTTTCAGTTTTTACACCTTTCATATCGTTACTACTTGTGTACGTTCCTTTGTTGCAGATGCCTGGGAGTCTGAATCTGATCTACTGGCCCTGTACAAGAAGTCGAGAGTTGTTTGAAATTGTAAAATTTGAAAACTGTAAAAAATTGTAAAACTGTAAACAATTGTAAAATATGTATATTTAATTTATGAAACATTAAATGCGTACCTCACTCGTAAAGTAATTTGTAACAATGAACTGACAATACTATGTTCAGCTCTTATGTATTTCTTTCTTTTGCAAAATATCTTTTTATATAAATTTTACATGCACTCTAAATTGGTTTTATGAATTTATTTCAATCCCATGTTTTCAACTAATAGTCTTTCATTAAAATTTACAGTATTTATGGATTATTATCTAATATCATAAAACACATCATTCTTAAAAAAGATAGGTTAAAATTCATATTGAGGAGAGAGAAAATTACCATAAGTATGACTGTGAAATGTGGAGAAAAATATATCCTTAAAGACAGAAGAAATAATTTGGTTTCTTGTATTTTTAAATTTTAACTTATCTTATTAGTAGCCCGAATTTGTTCATTTTATTGTATGTGCCTTGTGTTCTTCTCCCTTTATCACTGCAACATGCTGTCAATATCACTTACTGTTCGAAAAATGTTATGATTTCACGAGTTTCTCTTTTCTCAAAAATCTAGCATTTTCCGTGCATTAAGTCATATTTCCAGCACGTGGCAGATGGCACGCGGAGAATACTGGGCGCGTACAATTGAATTTCCCGCGGTTATTTTGAGCGCCCGGCAACCCCGGCCGCTAAATCTCAGCCGTTAGTTCCACCTTTGCCCGGTGCTATTCTACGAGGAGGCGAGCGCTAGGATCGCGATCACTGTTAACGACGGCTATCATTGTGTTGGTATTCTTCTTGTTATGTGTTCTGTGGCACTGCCCAGCGCCGAAAGGGACGGGCGGGTCTCCGCCGGCTCGGCGCACCCGCGTCCCGCCACCAACCCCCCCTCTCACCCCCAACCCCTTGAGTTCCCGCGGTTTCGCACCCGATCCTGTCCTGATTTTTCGACGCCCCGACCCGACCCGATTGTCGTGCCGTGGAAAAACGCCGTGTGATCATTCGGGCATTCATTCATGAACAAGCATTTCCCCCGATTTTCGCTGGGGTTGGATTGAATGTTGCAAAAAGGAACCAATAGCGTTGATACGTTACTAAGATCGCGCAACTTCTTTTCTCTTGCGGAAGGAAAACCTGATCGTTTATGAACAGGTTCTAATCTACACCCTAAAAATTGAAAATTTCCGATCCTGTCCTGATTTTCCGACGCCCGCGGCCCGACGCGTCATTCGGGCATTCATTCATGAACGAACGTTTCCCCGATTTTCGCTGAGAGTTGGATTGAATGTTGCAAAAAGGAACCAATAGCGTTGATATGTTGCTAAGATCGTATAACTTCTTTTACCTTGGAAGAAAAACCTGATCATTTATGAACAGGTTCTAATCTACACCCTAAAAATTGAAAATTTCCGATCCTGTCCTGATTTTCCGACGCCCGCGGCCCGACGCGACCGTCGTGCCGTGGAAAATCGCCTTGTGATCATTCGGGCATTCATTCCTGAACGAGCATTTCCTCGATTTTCGCTGAGAGTTGGATTGAATGTTGCAAAAAGGAACCAATAGCTTTGATATATTGCTAGGATTGTGCAACTTTTTTTGTCTTGGAAGGAAACCTGATCACTTATAAACAGTTTCTAATTTGCACCCTAGAAATTGTAAATTTAATACAAAAATTACCATATAAAGTTCATATTTTTGCACGAATTTAGTACTTCAATCGCGAAGGATGAATCTGTACATTTTTAGTTACGTCGCAATTGAGGCACTGGATGCGAAAAGGACACTTTTTTCGATTGCCGTCTTTCAGAATCTCTGTTGCCAATGGGACTGAATTTTGCAATTTGGAGCTATAAATTCTGACTCATCTGACAAAAAAAAACCCTTATGAGCGTAAGGAAACTTATGGCACATGCGTTGTTTTTAAACCGGGTCGGAATTTATAGTTCCTAATTGCAAAATGTATAGTCCAATTAATCCCTTGGAGAAGAATTTAATGGGTGATTTTGCCAGAATTCGTTTCTTAGAACATTGTAGAATCATAAGGAATATTCAATGAAAGACAATAGCTGATGTGGCTTGGTTCCTTTCTGTTTAACACGGTCAACGAGAGCGGTCCAAATATTTCGTCCGAAACAGACGCTCCAGATTTTCATGTGCCAAACAGGGTAGCCCGGCAACCCTTTCCCGTTTTCCGACCAAGTACACGCACCGAAATCTCCGACCGCTGAGAAAGATCAGGCGACACCGCAACACACAAGCTATAGCACATTGCTTATAATTTGAACAACACATGGTGGGGAATGAACAGCGCTCGATTGATAGGCTTGCTGAAACTGTTGTAGTGCGCAATTTGACTCACGTAGAGCTTTGAGTTTCTTGTCAGCGGGCAGTTCAAAATCCGCGTAGCCAATGTGAAATAAAAACGTTAATATCTTCGTCAGGACGTAGTTTTAGTAATTTTCGTTCCCCGAATCGTGTTCTACGTGAAATTCTGGTTAAGAAACATGTATCAGAATGTTTTAATTCATGCCTTGTCTAGTGGTCCATTGTGTCAGTATCATAGCGCAATATTGCGGTAATGACCCAAGTAGCACACACTGGTAAAAAAAAAAACATTGGATCTAGAGTCCATGCACAGTGTTATAAGAAATTTTAGGAGAATCTGTGATGATATTTCGACTAGGCCATAAGGACTTCGAATTCCATTGTTCTCCAGATCTCTTTTAATTGCAATTCGTTAATTTTTTTTTGGTAAATACCACAAATTAAATAGATCAGCTCAGAAATAGTAGACATCATCTTCTTCAGAGAGAGATCTCTCCTCAAGTTTTGTGACGTTTCATATTTCTTTCTCTTACGCTGCCAAAAAGATAGCTCGACGCTTATGCCAAGCGTTGGTGATTTTAGTTGCAAAAAGTTGAAGTTTAATAAAATTAGAAATTAAGTAGTCGAGCTTTGAAATTCCATATTTTAATTCCACTTTCCTACTTAAGTGGTTATGAATTCAATAAATAACATAGGACTAAATAATCCAGAAATAGCAGTTCCTCGTCGAAAATTGTAGTCAATTTAGTGACTTCAATTTCAAAATAGTTTTGTTTTAGTTTGTGATACTTATTTGTGATAAATGAGTTACGTACTTTGAAATATGGTTTTTTTCTGCTTTCGGTTGCTCGAATTGCACCAACGAGAAAGCAAGACTCAACAAGAACAATGAGGAGCGGGAAATTTCTTTCCACAGGTTTGTAATCTACAGTTTTCTATTTTCAATCCACTCTTTATCAGTCTCTCCTGACAGTGAGGGAGAATGTGTGCGAAAATGCATGCTAACGAGGAATCTTAGGAAGCCTCACTTAAATCAGTTCTTAGATGGGTCGTTTTTATTTCATCTAGAACACCAACATATGGTATTCTCTCCGCATTTTGCTGAAAGCATAGCGTAAGTACTGTGTTTTTTATGTCATGGCTGACTGTCAGCCAGTGAGAATAAAGAAAATGGTAAGTCATCCATTTATTTTACTTGAGGTGTCCCAAAAGTATTGGGCACCTCCTTTTCAAAGCAGATAAAAATAGTTGCCAAAGTACACATCAAGAAAACCAGTGGTTGAGTCACACATTTTATGGGACTATGTATAGATAATCTTCTTGACAAGGTCATAAAACTCCTCAAACTAATAAAAACAACCTCTCTAATTGACCCTACTGATTGGAACTTTATTTGAACTAAACAGGCACTTAGAGATTTCATTCGTTCTACACTTTTCTCTAGTTAAAGTGCATCATTTAGGTAATAATACCAGCTTGTACTAATTATCATATAATACTTTAGAAACGTGACATCCTTCAAAGGTGTCTGTGCACAAGTAAGTGTTAACCAGATTTGAACATATAGATAACTCCCCCTCACGTCATTGTTTCTTCGTTGAGTAATTTGCAAAGTACTTTTGAGTGGAGTCGAACAGAGATATAATTATATGCACGAAAACTTGCGGGCGATGATGAGAAAGCTTGATGATTTTTTCAAGTGGCTTCAGTTCACTGATGTAGGCCTTGTTTCTTCACAGACTTTGTGCATTGTATCATTTTAGCCTTGCTTCAATTTTGCCTCCGTCCCCTTCATAAATTAAGCACTTGTGAATTTCAGATTCATTATCAATTTTTTTTTTTATTTTTTTACTCGGCAGAAGGGATAGTTAATTTTTTTTTTTTGCTCGGCAGAAGGGATAGTGATTGGGGTCTCAATTATGCATGGCATTAAGCTTCCAAAAACGAGATTTTGTTTGGTGATCTTCCTCATTGTTTCGACTGGAATCGCTTGTGTGGTTGGAATATATTTACTGCAGCGCTTTCCCGCAGCAAAGTCGACTCTCCGCTTCGTAAGCATCGTAAGTGCTCACTTTATTCAAGTTTGTATTGAGAGTATCGCGGAGCGCAGTGAGTTTATGACCCGCTGCGCTTCGGTTTCGGATAGGTCGCGAAAACTTCAAATATGACGATAAAGAATAATAAATTGATTGATAAGATTGATTGATAATCGATCGATTGATTGATTGATAGATTGATTAAAATTTAATAATTGAATTTAATATGTGTCGCAGGCAAATAGAAAAATCAGGCATTTTAAAAATGTCTGGGTACATAGTCAAATATTTATACTTACGATTAGATGAAATCCTGATTCTTTTCTAAATTTTGGACAGGATAATTCAATGCTCCTGTAAGAAGGAATTGTTTGTGAAAATGTACATTTATCTCTAATTTTCAGCAATTTATGGAGCACATACGGAACTTATACGATTTTAACATTTAAATAAATGAGGATCATTTGAAAAGGAGGGAACGAGAAGGGTTCGTAGATTTGATGTGATATTTTTCCCAAAACATTGTACACTTGTGAGCTCTTCGTCATAAGAAGAAGAATTCGTACACTTTCAAAATTTGACTATCTGCTTAGGAATTTGACAAGATTCCCAATTTGACTAATAGCCAGCGACGTATGCATAAACAGACACTAATCAATGGAGTGTTCATTACTGTATCCGTACAAAGTGAATAATCACAGACAATCGCGACAATTATATCAGATTCATAATCTTGAGGAAATAAGAATAATTTGACTACATTTTACAACTGAGAACTACTAAATCAGGCACATTTGTAAAATCATCTATCTCAACACAGAATGTAATGGCAGATATGTTGTTAATGAAATGAGCCAAAAGTGTTATTCCTCCTTGCAAAATGTAGTTCAATTGTATTGTAAGATACATGTGCATAATGAAACTACCAAACCACGTATCTCGGTTGGCGACGTTGCAGACTTCCTGTTATACATGATTTTTTGAATAGGAAACGACTCAACGTCGTATTAAAACCGATTATTAAACGTGATTTTTCTTGTCTGCGCGAGCTGTACTCTGAGAGGACCTCAAAACAGATGCTGATTTACTCCTTTCAAAGAGTAAAACAGGAGCGAAGAGTCTTAAGCACCGAAACGAGATGCGCGGTTAGGAACTTTCAACGTCGCAAAATAGATCGAGTCAATGTGAGAGGTCGGACAAACTTTGGAAACTTTAAGCGCTTATAACTCCATTTATACACAAAAGGGTCCTTAAAGTGGTTTCATTGGTTTCCTCGTGAAATTTTCTTCTTCGAGCGTCCCTTACGATTTAAAATGTGACGAAATGAACATCACAATTTTCATTTTTGGTCAAAAATGTCATTTTCGACCTCTCCACTTGACTCGATCCACTGGGCGTCGATATATCAAACTTATAATATAATACAATATAATATATAATATAATATAATGTAACATTTCACGTCATACGTTGCAGATTCATCGGCATGGAGAGCGATCTCCGATGAATAACTATCCGAATGATCCGTATAAAGGAGAATCGTTTTGGCCGGAGGGGCTCCACGTTTTGGTGCAGGTAAGAGATTATTACTCATCAGTGTCGAAAGCTTCCGAATCGTTCAAAACCCTTCAGAAAACGTAGAGACAGCGATTTGCAATCTCGCTTCCATGAGTAAACGTTTCGAAAAATCAACGAAGATTATCAACACTCGAAACGCCTCCGTACATGACAAACCTAGTCTCTTTATCAGGAGGCTGCCAGTCCCTCAAGTAGAAATATATTATAAACGATGAAGAGACCAGGTTCGTCAGGTATACTGTGATATCACGAGTGTACCAAATCCGTCCCCGCGTAAAAGTGATCGTTTTGAATGGGTCGGTTCTTGAAACGGCATTTTTCTTAGTTTTGGAGGTGACTTCAAGATTTTCGAATAGCGCCATCGTTCTTTCCGTATAATTTGCCATCGGATCAGATATGAATTTGCAAATCCCCGCACCTTGCAGCCCGCAACTAAGGAGCAGACTCCTTCTGTCGAGTACACAAGTACGAGCGATTGCAAGTAACTAATGACAGTGCAGATAATAATAGCACTCCAAAGAGAGGAAGGCGAACAGCACAAGGTACTACAAATAATTGCAAGAAATCACGTGCAAACGATGACAATCATGTTGGACATAGCACCCCGAAGAAAGAAAGTCAGTTGCGAACAATACAAGTATTTAAAAGAAACAGAAAGCAACTGATGACAGTATTGATAAAAATACCACCCCTATTAGAGGAAGGCAAACACCACTAGGAAATTGAAAATTGAAAAGAATTGTACCACAATGAATTGTAAGCAATTCCATGCAAACGATGACAATAATGTTGGACATAGCACCCAAAACAAAGAAGAAAAAGACGACCACCTCATGAAAAACAGACCAAGTGCACGCGTGCTTGGTCAGTTCTCAGAAAGAAGACTGCGAGACAGCAGGATCATTGGTTTAATCGACCGAAAAGATGTAAAGGGTAAGTGCAGAAAGAGTAAACGTAGTGATAATGTTTCCGGTCAAGCATGTAAATAAAATAAGCATGTAATAAAATTGGAAGTGTCATTGATAAAATTTTATTTATCAATAATAATATTGAAAAATCTTATCAATAAAATTGTAACTCTGACCCCGTGGCCCTTGGACCTTTGCCCTCGTTTTTCCGTCCTCTGCAAACCACAAATTTGAGGTTTGGTTCCAAAAATTATATTACAATATTCAAAATTGTGTGAGACGTTCAGAAGATCTTCTGTGAGGAAGCTATTTTGCAAAATTATGATCCATCAGAACTGTGTAATGAGTTATCCTTGTGAGTGGGATCCTTCTGTCCCACTCATCTTTGGTTCTTTTTAGCAGAACTACATCCAATGGACAACGAGACAAGGTACGAATTTCAGCATTCTGATACATGTGTCTTCACCAAAATTTCACGTAAAACACGACGCGCACAACGAAAATTGCCGAAATCGACTCCTTCCGAAGATATTTAATTATTCTTGGTGCGTGATTTGAAACCACCCGCTCATGAAAACTCAATGCTCTACGTGATTCACATCGCGAGCTAAACGTTATCATGAACGTCTCTGCGATAGAATATTCTGGCAACCTCAATCTTGACGCTTTGGCTCAGCTATGGCAAATTTTACTGAAGTACCACCTGAAAAGACCTCCGGTGTTGTTTATAAGATAAATTGTCTGAATTGCAATGTTGCCTATATAAGCCGTACTAAACGCTACCTGGGAGAACGAATACGGTCACGCAAGTATGACAAAAAGGAGAAAACTGCTTCGCACCAACACAGCCAGGAACAACAGCACGAATTTAATTTCAAAAATCCAGAAGTACTTGTCAGAGAACCCAATTGCAGGTCTAGGCTGTAGCATGAAGCCATGCAGATTAAACGGTGCTCAAATTCCATTAATTTCAGAACTGAAACCGATGTAATGGGCACGGCGTACAGTCGTTCCTTCTGATTATTGTACGTGTAGTTAACTGTTTGCTCCTCTCAGTGACGTGCTCTCTTTGTTTACCGGTCAGTTTTCGAGCAATCAGACGAGCCGGAGTATCGTAGTGGCCACCGATGTAGTTTAAGTTTTTGTGCTTTCGTGTTTTTTAAAAAGTTTTAATTTTTTCCGCGTGGACATTCGTCGATATCAATATTTCGCGTGGACAATCGATCAACTTTTACGGTTAGTTTTTAAGTTATAATGTGGAAAGCCTGCCTGAGGATGCCCCCCACGTGGGGCGAAACGTTGCGGAGGAACGACGTTTCAATTTTTGTGGCTGCAAGCTGAATAAGGTAAATTTCATAGCAAATTATACTTATAGTTTGAAAAACACATGGTGGGAAATGAACATTGCTCGATCGAGAAGCTTGCTAAAACCGTTGTAGTGCGCGATTTGACTCACGTAGAGCTTTGAATTTCTTCTGAGCGGTTCAAATTCCTCGTAACCAGTGTGAAATAAAAATATTAATATCTCCGTTAGGAGGTGGTTTCAGTAATTTTCGTTGCGCGAATCGTGTTCAATGTGAAATTCTGGTTAAGAAACATGTATCAGAATGCTTAAATGCGTACCTTGTCTAGTGGTCCATTGTGAATTTATGATTGATTATTCATTAGGTATTTATTTGTTTATTCCAGAGAGGAAAAGAGAGCATGTTTGAATTGGGACGCTTCTTGCGTCACAGATACGATGGGTTCCTCTCGGAGATTTACAGGCCGTCTGAACTTTCGGTCGTTTCAAGTGACTTAGACCGGTGCATAATGAGCGCAAATCTTGTACTTGCAGGATTGTATCCTCCCGTTAAATTTCAAAATTGGAATCCCGATCTGCCATGGCAACCAGTGCCGGTGCATACCCTTCCGGATGACTGCGATAATGTAAGTGTTCCTATTGTTACTACTACCGTGCAAATGAAAAACGTCATAATGAACCTTCAGACGTTGTCAACATGTCATCGATGAAACATAAATTTTCAAAGCAAATTTAAGGATTTTCACTTTAAACAATGAAGACGTCCCAACACGGAACTTCTAGGCGATACCGCGAACAATTTCAGTATCTCGGCTCGAAAGATACTTTTATTAGGTCAAATGTTCAGAATGCGAAGAAGCCTCGACCAATTTGTTTCACACGCCTCTTTTGAAAATAACATTATGTTTTTTACTAACATAACGTAAAACTTTGGTGACCGCTTAGATGAACCTGAGGCTTCTATGAAACACTCAGAGCAGTGGCGAGGCGTAAACGATCGACAATCGAATTGGAAGCTATGATAAAGAATCGATTATCAAGGTTTTCATTTCGAACACCCTGTTCATCCATCCTTTTCTGTAGGTTTAGATGGCAGATCAATTGATACATTGCAAAGCCCGCCACGCCGCTGTTAGTCCCTTATATTAAGAAATAACATTTCGCTAGCGGAAAAAATACGATCAGTAAACGGTAAGTTACGCCTTCTAATCGGCATGATCTTTCCTGACTTTAATTATATTTTAACATTTTCTTTGGACGAATCTCTACCCAGATGATCCAGTTCACCAAACGATGCGACTTGTATTCGGAAGAAAAAACAAAAGCAGATGCTTTCATCCAAATGTCACTCGATGATGAAAAGGAGATGCTGGATTATTTTTCAAGAGCAACAGGCCGAAACTTAACAACGAATGTTGACGTTACGCAGCTTTACGATAATCTTCTAATTGTGGTAAGTTCTTAAGTGGTAAGTTCATGTAGTAAGTAATTATCTCCCAGGCTGTATTTCATTGCCTCTCAGATGCTTCGTCATAGACCTCAATATGACTAATTCACACCTCGACTCCGATTGCCCAAAATGTACTATGAATAAAGCAATACTGAAGAAATACTGAGTCATGAAAATATATTCAGTACGATACGCTAAAATAGAACCAATATAAAATGTTTCAGAATGTTTAATATGTAATCCCGCCAAAAGTGAAAAATCGACTGGTGGCGTTGAATTTGCAACTCGCATATGTGACAGAACAATGCTGAATAAGTCTCGGTGGGTGGATTGGGGGGGGGGGGTATTAAAATTAATAAAAATTCACGCTTGTCCTCCACTCCTAGTGGCGCACCGTTGTGAGGGCTGTGCTACCATGTGCACATTAAGACATACACTATTTTTCATTCATAAATTTCGTTATTTATCAAAGTATGTTGTCAGGATTAATTAAAAAACGTACGTTTGAAAATCGCGCTCGCAATAATACGCTAGCAATCCCTCTAAAGCAATACCTGTTTATGTTATTATGTTTCAATTACGTTAGGAATTACATGGCATGCCGCTACCAGAATGGGCTCAAGGCGCTAATCTTGGTCGACTGAAAAACTTCTTTGACCGCGACTGCATACTGTACTTCCTAACACCGGAGATGATACACCTTCGGTCAGGTTAGTGGCTTTTTCAGGACAACTTGTCCATCAAGAAACCGGACGACAAATACAAGGTATTTTGTTTCGGCGGTGCTGGACGCGGGAGCTGCAATGAGCATCAGTTTTCGGGTGTAGAGATGTGCCGATAACACTTATAACTCTTGTTGGATCTTGTTATAGAAAAAAATCAGTTATTTTATTCAATTTTTTCCGATTGATGAAACATCTGCAGTTTTTACAAAGAGAATTCCAAAACATGTTACTATAATGATTCATGGGGGTTTTTCGATAAGTTTTGTTGGCAACACCGTCAGCTCCTCACAAGAACTAAAAGCTCTGCTTTGATTGTTGCGTGTGAGCTTCATGCCAGGCGCACGGGCGCATGACGCACGGAGAAAAATGGAACAGCGTTGTGAACATGTTGCCGGCTGTGTCCGGTAAGAATGCGTTAGAGCACATCTAAGGTGGTGTGAACATCTGGGGATGGATGCGTTTAAGGCATGGGCCGAATTTTTTGCTCTGTCCCAACGACATGTGCGGAACTGTGCTGAACCCTTGGTACGCCCGACGAAAAAATTGCCGCAACTACTGTTTCGCCTCGGTCTAGCGCATGCCCTTAACGCCGGGGTGTGTACGTGCATTTCCGAACGGCACCGCGGCACCAAGGTCGACAAAAATGCTGAGTAACGGTTTTGAGTTTGCGCGAATCTGGTGTCGTTTCTCGTTTGGTCGTTTCTAATCTCTTTATCTAAGTGTGTGCCTGCGGTTTGATTCGGAGTCGTATGAAAGAGTGCGTTTTTTGACCCACTGATTTTCCATCAACATAAATAATCTACTCGGGAGGAATAAAGTGAGCTTGAAAGATTCAAAGCTTTGGTGTGCGGTGTGCGGTGTGCCAGCTGTGCCTATGATCTCTCCAAGTTTTATCGCGTTTCAGTTCAGCATTTTGTCTTGACCCAGTGAATTTTCAGTGAGTTCTTTCTTCTTTTCACACAAATTCTAATTAGTCTTCTACTCATTCATACATATATTTAATATTGTACATGCAATGTCTCAGCACATGTTATGTTGAAAGGTACGTTTTGCTTGCTCATTTAAACAAAATATACCTTCCAATCAAAGTTTGTGCTGTACTTTTATCTGCCTGATTCTGCATTCTTATTGTGTGAGATGAAAAATAGAATTTGGATATCTTAGTGCTTCCTCCTTTCGTGCCTTGTTCTACCGATAAGTTCCGCTGTGAAATATACTAGTTACTTGCATTGATAATTTGATACAAAGAAACAACTCATTTATTTTTTTGAATTGAGTCCTGATTATAAATGAAGTCTTTACACAATACCTGCTAAGCATAAATTTAAGCCGCTTTAAGCAGTTTCAGTTAAAAGTAGGTTCCTGTGTCTCATTACCTCATTTCAGTGAATAAGATTTAAAATGCGCATAACCTCAAATACTCAGTGACGGTTTTCGAGGTATCCTAATTCACAAGAATCAGTGATGTCTCCGTAAAGTGGAAATCATTACAATGGTTTGGTTTTGTGAAATGGAATTCCTGTTAAAAGATTTCAAATGACCATGCCCTGAATAGTGTCTCAGTCCACAAGATTTCTCAACATATGACCTCATTAGGCCTGCATTATCCTGTTTCGGTGAGTTCCTTCATCTTTCATGTCTCCTTTCCAGTGATCTGCTTTTGCAGCATGCCTGTTTCTTCGACATTATCTTTTTTTTCACTTCTAGGTATCTAATTTTTTATCCCATTTCTCCTAGGTACTCGCTCCGTTCTATATTTTTGTTCCACTTTTCTATTTTTCCTCCGTGATTTTTCAATTTTTTTAAAATAAAATACCTACTTAGTAGAAGTTAACAAGGTCCTTCAAATGTCAAAATTTTCATGTTGATGAGCATGTTTTCCTCCTCATTATAACTTGTAACATGTAACACCAAAAACATTAGAGGAGAAAAATAAAATGGTGAGGAAATTTTAAGATTTTTTAAAGATTTAAAATGTGCTCAGGTTTTTTCTTTTGTTTTTTTTTTCATCCTCACTGTTAACAAAAGAATAGAACAAAGCAACCTCCCCCTCCTCAAGGGGTAAGGGCTGGGGGAGGGGGGTCGCCCCTCCCAATATAACGCCTCCGCCCCCTCCCCGCGCTGACCACAGGCAAAACTGTACGTAGGGGCATGAATTTCCGCATCTGGGTACATAGATTCCGCACCTGGGCGCATCCGCCGAAACTGTGCTAGGCACATCCGGATGGCTGCGCTCAAGTGCAAAAGAAATGTTGGAGCAACATCGCCGTCCGGGACCATGTGCTGGAGTCCATCTTCTGGTACTCAGCGCGGTTCCATTTTTCTCCGTGCGAGGATGCTCCTGCTGACGTAACAGAGTTGGAACTGCTGATGTCACTGCTCGGGGGGAGAGAACCATGAAAAGTTCTTGAATCAAGACAAGAAACGTAAATAACATTACGTTTCGCTAACTCGATCTCATTCCAAAAGTGCAACTTATTTTTTAATCTACTAACATTTCTAGGGTAAAGAGGAGTCTCTAAAAATACTCCTTGGTGGGTGTAGAGGTTGGCCTATTATCAAGGAGGTGATAGTGCCCCTCTGTCCATCTTTGCTCTGTTTTTCAGTTTGTACTCATTCCTAACTCGGTCACTTGCATGCTCATTTTCTCGTTTTAATTTTTACATTTTTTAGCTTCTGTTCCAGTTGAGAATGGTCATGTAATTGGCCCGAAACGTCCTGGTTTGTTTTATGTCTCCTTAGCCTTGTTGTATTTTAATGTGTTTTTATCGTCCTTCTTTTTTAAAATAATTTTTCTTCACGTCATTCCGTGCACCTAAATCTTCTATTTTTAATTCGTATTACTGCAGTTTCGCCGTTCCCTTCGTATTATTTCAACACTGTTAAAAATGTCGAGCGCTAGTGTTTGGTGTGTTACCGCGGACAAATTGTTTGCGCGATTTTAATATACATAAGCGCGGGTAGTTGCAAGCACACTCTGTTTTTTGAACACGCGCGACCTACTTGCCGGGCCTAAAATACAAAATGCGGGTAAAATAAACACTACGGGAGTTAGTTTTGAACACTGAAGTCTGCGTGTCTCTTTGAATCAACCGGTGGGTAAGTTTCTACAACTGGTGTGTTTTGGTGAGCCGAAACTTTTCCTTCAGGGTGTCCCGGTTATCCAACCGGAGTGTTTAAATGAACACACTCGACTCTCGGACCGCGCGGGATAGGTTTTATTGGCTCACGCGGGTTATGAGGGGATAATTCGGCTTTTTGCTACTAATTCGAGAATGCCCTTTGTTTTCCTATTTGGGCCGCGAATCTCGTGGAAAATTTATTTTCCTCCTTTTGGACTCGATTTTTGGAGGATGATCTAATTTTAGAGACACACCAAAATGATTCGGAAAAAGGGACGTAAATTTCGAATCCGGGGAAAAAAGTCTATTTACTATCAATTTCCTACTTTATGACAAACCAATCGTGTTAAAGAGTGACGATCAACACACCAAGGAGATGAATATCGCTCCAGAGATCTATAAGTACCTGAAAACGGTGATACCTGGAATGCTTACTTCACATGCAGAGGCTGCTGTAAAGCTTGTCTTTAGAAGGTCTTTCACAGATGCATCTTTAAAAAGAGCAATCTAAGGTCATCGATTGATCATTACGCAAACTGATTGCGGTGGACGAACGGGGTCGTAAGACAGTATGTATTGGAGTGATTTGCCAACGTGCGTTAAAATTCAGCACAAAGCTGAAAATCTCAATACAAAGGGTAAAAGCTCATGTGAGCACAGTTTTCCCTCAAAGAGATATGCTCTTTGGTGCAAAATTAGTTACATCCATTCAGGAAGGCAACTGCAGACGCATTTTGACCTTGTTGGGCCAATCCTCAGTGCAGTGCAGCCTCCTGAATTTGCTGCTACCAAGCTCGAAAGATCCTGGAAACCAGCCCGAGACTTGGGCAAGCGAACGCTGACGGCAAGTACAGCATAACTCTTTGAGGGAAAACGGTGCTCATATGAGCTTATACCCTCTGTATTGAGATTTGCAGCTTTATACTGTATTTTAAAGTACGTTGGCAAAAACCTCCAACATACTGATTAATTATTATTCGACGTACTTACAGATGAATTTCACCTTTTTTTACAGTCTTTACTGCGCACATGGAGTGCGCGATAATAACGGGACATTTCCAATGGTCCTGTCCTTCTTTCTGCTTTGTTGTTCTCAACTTCATTCTCGACTTGCGCAAATGCTATTGTTGCTCTACGTAGCTGTGCATTGTCTAATGCGCATACCAACGCTGAAATTCTGCAGATTTAGCGAAGTTTCTAAACGCTTTGTTGATATGAACATTGCACTATTGACGATGCTCTTCTATATGTACTTGAATAAGAGATTTGATTCTAATCTTGTGCATAGGTGTTATGCTGAATGAAATGTTGGTTAACATGAAGAGGAAAATAGATGCCAAGATTTTGGAACGGCGGTTCAATCTGTACTCAGCCCACGATACAACGATAGCCAGCATCTGGCGGGGCATGAATATAAGCCGAGAAATTAAAGAGCAACCTCAGTTCGGAGCTGCTCTCATCCTGGAACTACACGAAATCAGGAGCGAATATTATGTAAAGGTAAGTAACATGATCTTGGAGTAAGGTTCCTTTCAGAATATTCTAAGAGGAAATACACTCTCGTAGTAAATTCAGATTAGCTATACACTGTTAAAAACCCCGGTGCGAAATAAGTTTGGCGCGAATTTCGCGCTCTGGCCGGAATGAAAATCTGACAGGCAAATGTAAAACGAAACTACCGCAGCATGGACTTGAGTTCGAGTCGCGGCGGTGATAAACGAGTGCGCTACCACTTAGCCATTTGGCGCTCGTACCAAGTGACCCTGAATTTACGCTACTTGAGGTACCTCAACTAATTCGTCCGTCGTTGGTGATATTCACGCTCTGATCTATTCACTCAGAGTGCGGCGCGAAATTCGCGCTGGATTTTTTTTCTCACGCCGGCTATTCACTCAGAGTAAATCATTGATTATTAACAGTGTACAGTAATCGGGCCAGCTTTCAGTGTATTTCACACTGTAAAAGTAATCGTACTCAAGAGATCGTTTAAATAATGTATATAGTCAGAAAACTTTACAGTTCACCATATACACACGATGCCTTCCCAGGTAGCAGTGATCGCGATAAGTTACGATTTAATCGGAAAATGTATCGCGATTTCATCGACGTCGATTCATTGCAATGTTATCGGATTAAAAATTGCAATAAATTTCGTATTATCGCATAAATTTGAAACAAAACCGCGATTTCATCAACAGCAATTTCTTGCAATATTATCAAACAAAAAAACGTGATGCACTGAGATAAAATTTCAATATCAAACGGGATATAGTAGAGATAAAATTGCGATAGGACCGAAGATAGTTTCTCAGAATTTGATGATCCTAGCGATTTGATCGCCAGAAAATCGAAAAAAAATCACAATTTAATTTCTAAAATTTGCGATTTTTCCGTTGAAAGAATTCCGGCAAGATTTTGGTGTGATTAACCTAGTAAAAGTAACCTTGCTCAAAAGATCAACCCACTGACAGAAAAATCTGCAGTTCGCCATGCGCGAGATGCCTTAATCATTCTGTCCACAGCCAAAGGAACAGAGCAGTGGCGTGGCGTGAATTGCAATATATCGATTGTTATGCCATTTAAACCTATGGAAAAGTATCGATAAACACGGTGTTCGCAGCGAACATCTTAATAATCGATTCTTTACGATAGATTTAAATGGCATAACAATCGATATAACGCAATTCACGCCACGGCACTGGAACAGAGTTAATGAAGGAAGATGCGAAGGGCATTAGAATCAAATCATGCAGTATCTTCTTACGATTCTAGATATAATAGCTCCGTGCTTTATCATTACAGATTTTGTACAAAGAGAGTAGCGCTGTCGAAACTCTTTCAGTTTTGAAGACAGGTGGTTGCGAGGAGGACCAACCCTCAGAGGAAGATGGAATGTGCGCTTTCAGCACATTTTCAGCTGCTCTGGAACCGGCAACCATCGCAGACTTCGAAAAGGCGTGTCGAATAACGAGTTGACACGGGCACTTTTTCTTCTAAACAGAAAAATACGTAGTTTCTCCTCTTCATCCAGCTCCACGGCCGTCGGGAGTCAAGATTGGACTGTCCGCTCTTACACTCACATCCTGCTGCCATAAAAAGATGTTCTCTCGAAGAGCTCTCACCAAGAAGGTTCGGTACAGCTTTCGACCGAAAGCCCATTAACTCGTGGGTATTTTTGTCTAGTTTGATCATCACCTGTCAAGAGGATATAAAAAAAGAAAAAAAAGCGTTCTCATGACATTATGATTTCTAGGTGACGATGGAAAGAAAAGTCGCACCCAGCAGCCGAGGGGAAGAAAATATGGATTTCAAGGGTAGTATAGTATATGCATTTATACATATTAGAGGCGCCCTGACATTGCAGGCCATTAACAAAGTTCGGCGGAAAAAGTGCGTAATGAGCTATTAACGTACGAAAAAACGTGTTAGGCGCCATCCCCAGGGGACCTCGGGGATGCACTGTTTCGCAGGTGTAGAAAGAGCGAAGACAAGATAGCTTTCAATTTATCAAAGGATCACCAATTCCATTATCTGTCCGATTGAATGCATTGGACACTCAAAGACAAGAACACCGACACCTTTACAGTCCGAAAAAGTCTCCTAAAAGAATTTTCTTTGCCTTCAGGAAGTATTCCAATCTAAAGTTTGTCAACGTCAAAAAACGAAAAATTTATACGAAACATTGCTATACGGTAAGGGTGGATTTCTTATGAAAATCTTATCTTAGGAAACTGCTGATGTAAGTTCATTAAGAAAATAAAGACTAAGATGCTTTAAGTATGACTTTTAAGTGAAAAAGCAATGCCACTTACCTTTACTACAAAACAATTGAATTTATTTCTTCATAAAATCCACATTACTTTTATAAACTTACTTGATTGTCACACGATTCGGCGATAGATCACGATTACACGATTCCTGATCCATTACTATCGCAATGGCTCCAAAATTAAGGTGAGATCACCGTGAAGCATACCCTTTTTTTTATTAAAAAAAGGAAAAATAACATTTATTTGGCCAATTGATTACTTTGTTCTAATGATATAAATCATTGCAATCTAAAAGGAAACTTATAGTTCCAAATTTAAAAAAGATGTAACTCAGTGTATTGTTCAAAATTGTGAAAATCCTTCAGGGCATACCTTAATGGGCCGCGAAAGAACACACCTTAGCAAGTTTTGTTCATCGATGCTTGTAACTTCTCAACACTTTTCGTCTCTCCTGAAAAATTGTATCTTTGGACTTTAAGTAATTGCCTTCTAAAAGCAACGCTTTTATTAAAGGTCTCTCATCTTCAGCCGCATTGTAGATCGAGATCCAAGATTAGAGATAGAGAAAGTGCAAGTATCGGTAGATGACCGCTTGAGTTGGTGGAGGATTTACCAAAATTCACGGTAAGTAACTTCCTACGAACTTACTTGTCAAAATGTTAAGAACAGCCCCCCCCCCAAAAAAAAACTACACAGTCGCATTGTTCCTCATAACACCTGGCGGCGAAGAACCTATTGACACTTACAAAAGCTCTGATGGGAAAAACTCCCTGCTAGAGAATGAGACTGTAAAAGTGATGCATTTTGAAAATCAGACGGCTTCTAATGTGAAATTTCTCCAAAATTGTACCAGGAGACCTCTCTCAATGTCATTTTAAATTTGGCAATAGATTATGCGAAGCACCTCACTGATCAGGACCTTTTAAAAGAGAAGCTCAACATTTTCTGAAGTGTACATTTCCCGAGAAGCGCAAACTCCATCTACCGGCACTCCATCGAAACCGCTTAAGCAGGCAATTTTTTTACTTCAATTGAAAGAAATATACCGGCGGTGCAGCGGTAGTTGAAACAAATGAGAAGTCGAGAAAAAATTCCAAATGTGATTCATCGGCGAAAAAACTACGAAGATCCAAAACAATTGACGTCGCTGATTTTTGCCACGGCATTTGATGACGTCAGAGAGGTAGTTCCGATGATCCTTGTGTGGATGCGCAACACCCAAAGACTTCATTTCTGATGACAGATTTAAACCAGGTTCTGACGTATAACAACGGGAAGATAAAAAAATCCAAGTAAAAAGTTATGACGTAAGCACGTTGCCATTATGAGGTTTTTAAGCGCTGAGTTTTTTCATCGAATTCGACAGAGAAGCGTCCAAAAAACCGGTAGTCATCTGAAAATGTTACGTGCAGTTGACAGCAGCGATTGTTTCAGGGAAAGGGAGAGGGGGGGAGGGGATTCTCGTCACCAGAAAATTTGCGGTTACGTTCACCCATTTGCCAAAGTTGGACAGCTCGGGCGGTTTTTCACTCCACAATTTCTATTCTTAAGAGTGGCTTTCCATGGTCCTCCCTAAGTTCATAGAAGTGGTTAACAGTGCGACGATTCACAATTTCAGTTCACGAGGTACAATATAAGTAATAAATTTCCTGCGTGTGCCCTATATTCAGTGCTACAGATGTGCATGGTGAAGGTGTTGATTACAGGTGCGTGGAAACTTCGAGGATATTTTGAAAGGACAGTGGCGTGGCGTGCTTTGCGATACATCGATTGATCTGCCATTTAAACCTATAGAAAATGATTGATCGACAGGGTGCGCGCAATGAATACCTTAATAATCGATTCTTTACCGCAGATTCAAATGGGGGAGATATCGATAATCGATCATTCGCGCCTCGCCACTGAATAACACTTAAACGTGGGCTGGGTTTAAATAATCGCTTAAATTCTATTTGTTCCGCATGCCTATCAAGGCTTCTCTCGTAAGCCGTTTAGCCTTGGTCAACATCATTCAGCGGGCTGATTCTTGAAATTGATGGACAAAGCTATAGACGAAGATGACATAAGGGATATGGAGGGTTCCTATTTGTGAAAGCGGGTGGTTGTATAGGACAAACGAAATGGGTAATGGACTAACTAACGGCTACTCACGAGAGATCTTTTAGTTAGTCCATCAGTTTCTTCCTTCTGGTCTCTGAGAACCACACATTTCAATCAACAGGATTCCTACATATTCCCTATGTCTTCTTTGTCTATCGTTTTGTCTATGGATTTCAACAATCAACCGGCAGAAAGAGAGAGACGGACGGATATACGTGTAGTACTAGAAGAACTAAAATCCGAATTTCGGGGCGTTTATAAGTAGATTTTTTTGGGGTTTCCAGAAGTCGAAAAACACCGGAAAAATTCCTGTGGCGTAAGAATCCTTAGTTCTTTCAATTCAAGCTTTGAGCACTGCCTCTGGAGCCTTACCTTGATTCGACTACATTTTGTAATTAGGGACTACAATTTCTGGATCAACCGTAAGACACACGTCTGTGGGGAAACAAATGGTACATACGTGTTTTTGAACTGAGCCAGATATTTTACTTCCTAATTGCAAAACGAAGTCCAATGGATCAGATGCGCTGGTCACAGGATTGTGTTTTGATGATTGATTCTTGCAGATCAGCAAAAAATAATAAGATCTGTCCGAATAGCAACTTTCATTCGCTTTGGAAAATTCGGTTTATGACGTCATCCACCGCGGGAGTGACACCGTTGCTTGGTTTCTACCACCTTCCTTTCATCCGAGTTTCAATGCAACCAATGCAAGCGTGTCTCACCGATTGATGAAAGCTGGGTGTAAAGAACAAAGGGTGTCACTGTCGCGGTGGATGGCGTAAAGCCGAATTCTTCAAAGCGCAGAATCTCGGTTATAATTGAAGGTCGAGAGTTGCTGATTGGACAAGTTTAATTATTTTTAGCTTATATGCAAGAATCAAGGATCAAAACACGATTCTGTGACCAGCGCGTCAAACACACGACTTCAATTTCGGGCTCATCCGTAAAAACACGTATGTGTGCGTGGAAATTAATGCTACATACCTGTTTTTAAACTGAGCCAGAAATTGTCCTTCCCAATGGATCACTAGACAAGGTACGAATTTAAGCATTCTGATACATGTTTCTTAGCAAGAATTTTAGTAGAACACGATTCGCGCAACGAAAATTACTGAAACCTACTGAAACCAACTTCTAACGGAGATACTAACATTTTTATTTTACATTGGTTACGAGGAATTTGAACTGCCCACTCACAAGAAACTCAAAGCTCTACGTGAGTCAAATCGCGCACTACAACGGTTTCAGCAAGCTTCTCGATCGAGCAATGTTCATTTCCCACCATGTGTTTTTCAAACTATAAGTAATTTGCTACAGCTGAGCCGAAGCGTCATGATAGAGGTTGCCAGATTTTTTTATCGCAGAGACGTTCATGATAACGTTTAGCGCGCGATGTGAATCACGTAGAGTATTGAGTTTTCATGAGCGGGTGGTTTCAATTAACGCACCAAGAATCATTAAATATCTTCGGACGGAGTTGATTTCGGTGATTTTCGTTGTGCGCACCGTGTTTTACGTAAAATTTTGGTGAAGAAACATGTATCAGAATGCTGAAATTCGTACCTTGTCCAGTGGTCCATTGGAAAATGTAGTCTTAAACGTCTTGTGTGCTGCAGTGGCAGCGCTAGTGGTCAGCGGCGGCTCGTCGGCCCCTCTCTCTCGACTGAGCTTTGAGAAGGGCGACTTGCTGAAGACGAGTAGGCTGGGGTTCCGGGTCTGGAGGCACTTCAATTTGCCGCCGCATCACTACTATTACGCCCTCTCGGACCATGAGATCTTCTCGACGACCGTGGAGCCCCAGACAGAGTATTATTCGGACGAGGTAACCAAAAAGGTCAAGCTCCGATCCGTCTTGTACACCCTTGACGTGAAAACCCCTCGAAAGGAATTCGACTCCATCCTCATGACGAAAGCCCGGGTCCGGGGGGCCACCATCGGGGACACGGGCATCGCCCTGGCGCGCAGGATGAGCCAGATGATCCTTTTCTACCACACCACGCGCTGCAACAACTACCACTACATTGATTACGTCGTCCACGGCAAGACTTTCGGCAGGTCAGAATATACCTACAACACACGGAAAAAAAAAGAATTGCTGATTCGGCAATTCAATTGCTAAAAACAGTGAGTGCAATGTTTCAACGCAGATTTTACAACCAAAAAATGCTACTTTAACCACCCCCGTGGTTAAATTAGTTTACAATGTGGTTAAAGTAGCATTTTTTTGTTGTAAAATCTGCGTCGAAACATTGTACTCACTGTTTTTAGCAATTGAATTGCTGAATCAGCAATTCTTTTTTTTCCGTGCAGATATTTACAGATATTTTTTCTTCTCTATAGTAATATTCAGTAGATGAATAAAATGGTACGCTAACAATTTGCTTAGATTTTGTTTATTAAGATCTTGGCTTTTTGCTTGCCAACATGAAACGAAATGAACTTATCCCTCGTGGACTAGACAGGTGCGAAAGAAGGGTTGCGCTCGTTAGTCAAGGGCCATAAGAATGAATGGGAATGGAGATGCACCGAGATGTAGCCATAAAGACGTACCGTCCGTTCTGGGCTCAGAGGCCGAAAGTTCCGGGCGCAGCACCTGATACTTTCGGCCTCTGAGCCCGAAACGGACGGCATGTCTTCGGCCCATAACTTTCTTTTTCAGTGCGTTTACCAGAAATACCGCCATTTTACTTAATTATATTCAAATAAAAAAAGCTTACTAAAATAAGCGTTATGGAATGCGGCCTTAGACCCCTCTCCCCCCATTACGCCCCCCGGCCTCTGAGCCGGAAACGGACGTTATGTCTTTGGCCCGTGACTCTCTTTCTGAGTGCGTTTACCGGAAATACGTCCATTTAACATATTAAAATTCGAATAAAACAGCTTAATAAAATAAGCGTTATGGAATGCGGCCTTGGACACCTCTATTCCAATATATCCCCCTAACTTGATGAATGGTCTCTTGTGGTGCATATTCAGTTTATGGCCTGGTTACGCTCAAATTTCCGTCAGATTCCTATCAAAATGATGACCAAGATGGCGGTCGAGAGTTATCTAGACTGATGAGTAAAATTAATTAAAACAGCGTGTTGATTGAAATGAGCATGAAATAAGCACGGTTGTGTGGAAATCAGATGAAGGATGAGCCCCACAGCTCCATCATCTACCATCAAATTTGTGCAGGCCGCAGAAATTTGATGGAAAATGGTGCGCACCAGTCACCATTTGATCGGAAATTGATGGAAATTTAAGCGTGTAACCAGCACAATACACTAATGTGAGATCTGCAGCGTCGAGCGAAGAAACCAGATGGCGCGGTCTGGTCCTTGGAGTCAAGTGTAACGAGCCGCGCCTAAATCCCAACAGGCCGTGCGAGGGTCGATCTGGTCGCGCACTCCTGAAGAATTCGACCTGACTGATGCACAGTGTAATTACACTGAAAAACTAGAGATTATGAATTTGAAACTTTTTCTTCTTTTTCGTGGACGATGACAATACTTCCTTTACCCGCGATGGGAGCGAGAAAGTAAAAACTGCGGCCGTGGAAGCCGTACTCTCGGGTTATATAGACCTACTGTCCACGTTTCGGGCTCAGAAGCCGAAAGCACCGGGCGTAGCACCCGCGGAGCAGTTGGCTCCAGCACCTGGACCTTTCGACCTCTGAGCCTGGAACGGACGGTACGTCTAAACAGCCCGACCTTTTTCTTTCAGTGTGTACACTATCTTCACTTCTGATGATTCTGATAAAACATGAACGTAATAGCGGCAGACCATTGCTACAGCTCAGCTGGATCAGCAACTCAAGGAGAGGCAAACGCTTCAAAAAGATCCGTAGGGTTAAACAATTAAACATTTGTTTTTAACGGGAGACATGAACACAACTGTATTAAATAAAATGGGACATGGACAGTTTCCATCCATTTTCTCGCTTGTCAACAGGTGTTTTGAAAAAACTATTGCAATCTGTGTCCCGCCTTAACGCGCCGAAACTGAATGTATTTTGCAATACCGTTTCGGGTGAAGTACGTTTTGAAGTGGCTAAGTAATTTCCTGCAATAGAGAGATCAGCACACCTGCCTACACATTTATACTTAAGATAGGAAATCCTCGATTTTTTAATTGTATCGGTAACATCCATGGTCTTGAAGTTCCGTTAGTTGTATTACCATCTAAATCGTCGGTTATATTCATACTAAAAATATAGTTTAACAAGTTCATTTTTTTTAACTTTTTTAAATTTTATTTTTGTTTAATGGATGGGAATGGATGACCCTCTAATGGTTTAACCTTCTTTATTCGTACAGGTGGTGGAAGCCGCTATACTGGCCGAAGCACCCCGAGTGCCCGGTCCACCTCGTCATCGAGTCTGGGACGAATGTTAGCGATCCGACTAAGCCTGGATATGTCACATCGTTGAGGAAGAAGAAGGGAGAAGAAATGCTGCCTCACCTGAAAAAACCTTGAATCGTGAAGGAGATCTGTGTCAGTTCGTTGATGAATGTAAGTAAAATTATGCCGGAATAATTTCTCTTGATATTATCGCTGTAGGGACCCGAGTATTTTCAGAGCTTGGTTAAAAAGCTAGGCGCTAGGCTGCTATGTTGGCGGAAGTGTTCTTGTAGCGCCTGCAGATCTGGCGCAGGCAATAATGATGACACCATATATTTCACTGCTGACACACCGTGCTGCCTCGATCGGGCGTTGTTCTCGCCACTGAACCCCGGAGCAGTCGAAGCTACGGCTTCAGCATCCGGAACTTCCGGTCACTCGGCCTGGGACGGACGGTATGTTTAAACGAACAATATACATTTTTTCTAATGTAAACTTTTTAAGTCCTTACAAACCATGTCCAACCTCTTCAATTGATTTTTTCTATTATGTGTCGTTAGTATCACTGTCAGAAGTTGAGTTCGAAATCAAACGATGCACCTACTGTTTTGTACGAGGTAATTCAAAAAAGAAAAATGTTAGTCTTAACTTCCATCTACATCTTTACCTTCCACTTCTTTCGGTGAGAAAATACCTGATCATACACTCTGTACAGGAAATAATCTTGTTGCTCCGTTAGTATCCAGAATCCACCTTGAAAACAGTCAGAGCCTCTTTTTCGTAGTCGCGCTTTTTGTTCAACAGAGATTGAAGCATATTTTCTCTACTAACATTTTTTGATAGAGTAGCTTACATGAATACAACCAATGATATGCTTGACCATGAAGTTAAAAGAGCCGTGATATCTCAGAATCTTGTAAAGTGTTTTATCAGCCTCGTTGCCAGTATTATTTGATTGTTGTATACCTCCTTTTTAAGGAGATAGTATTAAGTAGGTTCGCCATTTGAGGCAGTGTTAGTCGAATTTCTAGCGATAATTTTGCGATTTTCATGCGGTAATCTAATGAATGACATTGAATAGCAAAAATAGCTCAAAATTGCATTTTAGATAGACCGTTTTAAAATTTTCCGGGGATGCCCTTTGACCCCCCCCCCCCTCTTCTGTAATGGGGTGAATCTCCCCGTCACGACGCAAATCGCAAAGTTAGGTCTTCGAGGCCTCACAGAAGAAAACCTCGGAAAAAAGATCCGCCGTCGTTACTTTACGGTGCCGTAAAACTGCAGTGGGGTATCTGTATTCAAGCGCCATAAAAATAAGGGGAAATCGAAATTGAGAGAGAATCCAAAATTTTTCAAATCAAGGGGAAAGGAAGATTAAGCAGAACTCGGTTTGATGCTGCTCAGCCCGCGCACCTCTACTTTGCTCTACTTCTGAAGAAGTCGAAAGCGTTCTTCCAATATTTCAAAAATGTATTTTATTATAAAATTGGGACGAGAATTGGCAACATTTGCCAGGTTAAATAATTATCACTTATTCTCTAAGTTTCTGACCGAAGGGGCAACTGATTTATTTAGGCCAAAATGTTTTCTCTAGCCTGCATGGGACCAATTTACATTTTTAGCAGACTTGCAGATTTCTTGCAGATTTGCTAGATTCTAGCAGAATGGAGATGTTGCATGTGTGAGGAATTTGCGCTTTGACTGTTGATCCTTATGTAAAAATTTGCGAGAAACACGATGGTGCCACTGGTTTTCTCTGAAATCAACTCCCAAGCCCAAAAAAAGCTCTCGAGTTGACGCCAAAATGGAGGGGATATCCCACGCTATCCTGAGAGTCCACCTCTACATCAAGACGAACTCTCCATGCAAATATAGGAAGCAAATAAACTAGCAGTGATGCCAGTGCAGTGTTTTCCGTTTTAGAGTCTCTAAATAAATTGGCAGCCCTGTCAATGTATTTGCTCCTTATCTTTGCATGGAGAGTTCGTCTTGATGCAGAGGTGGACTCTCAGGATAGCGTGGGATATCCCCTCCATTTTGGCCTCAACTTGAGAGCTTTTTGTGAGCTAGGGAGTTGATTACAGAGAAAACCAGTAGCACCATCGTGTTTCTCGTAAACTTTCACAAAAAAATCAACAGTCAAATCGCAAATTTCTCACACATGCAACATCTCCATTCCGAACACGCACACACGCGGTCGTAGATCTGTTGAGGCCGATGGAGAATATCTCTCCATTCTCCCTTGTGGCGTATTTGGAGCAGCCCCGTAGCTTCGCGCCCGGTGTCGCTCTTAAGACGCCTTCATAGGCGAGCCAGGCCACCCGCTCTCCGGCTAGTCCAAAACCCGTCCTGCGGTCCCTGAGTTACAAGGCTTCGTTGAGCTGCATGAGCTGCCAAAAAGTTTGTCCTGCATTATCAGGATAGGTCAAAGCAGAAGTTGTGCCTCTCTGAGGTCGAAACGCTGATTGAGCAATTGGCCTAGGTCATGTGATCGCCATTCTCTAGACCCTGTCAGCCTGGCTCAAATGTGTTTTCTTTTTCGTTTTTTACATGTTTTAATTCAGGATGCCTCCCCTCAGTGGGGGCAGTAGAAACCGACTCAAGTATGTGTTTCCTTTGCAATGCATTTTTCACAGGCTCCCTAATTTCTATGTTCACGGATCCAGGTTGACTGGTCTAAAACCGTCCAAAACCGTTTAATTGTATGTTGAAATTGTGTATATTTCACTCTTCTCCCACAACTCAGGTTTTTTTCTTTTATTTAAGCAAGGCATTCCTTCATTGGAAAAATGCAGCGTTTCGGCCTAGGGTGTATTAAAATGCACTTGTGCACGTCCGGGTGGCGGCTATGTTCGGTTAGGGCCCTTGTTTATAAGGATGTGATCTAGCAGTCAGTTCTCTTGGGTTAGGAAACTCTTGTTTCTCGTATTGTGTACAGGTAATTTTTTCGTATGAAATTTTCTCCCGCCACGTCAAGGGCGGCACGTGTTTGCTCGCAATCGTTACTTACGAGCTAATGCAACGGAATTTTCCACGACGCGCGGCAAGTGTACGTTCACGTCCGGACCACCATCGTCACGTTATTGTGTTATGTAACGGAATTTTCCATCGACTCGGCGGTACCCCCTCTTACTGGGAGTGTTCCACCCACTAACGCGCCAACAAAATGGTTTTAAGCCTCGTGACACTCACAAGCACTGACGTCTAGAACCGCGTATGACTACTTCGGATGGATCACTCCGTTGCGCGTCACAGACAAACATTACGCCGGAGGAAAACGCCGTTTGGGCATTCGAGTTTCAAGATTTCCTCCGAAAAATGTTTACTTCTAAGGATACTCATGAATAGTTTCGTTCCAAATCCCTTGATGATTATGATCCAATTGCGAATAAAATTCTCTGAAAAATTAGGGGGAAAATATTCACAGACTTCCATGAAAATTCGTATTTTAACGGAGGAAATTCAGCCACTTCCAATGGCTCATACGGCGTTCTCCCTTAACGCAGCAGCAACGTGACACTCATCGAACGGACCCCATTCGAGTTCCTGCCACAGATGACATATCGTCACCTTCCAGGCAAAGAATCACAAGCGCCATGCGACGTGTAAAAATTTCCGCCGCCATTATATTTTTTTACAGAGAAATTGTTTAACGAAGCTGTCCGAAAATTTCACTGAATTTTCTTTGTGCTGCCGATAAAATTTGGTGAAATTTCCAAACAGATTCAACCAACAATTTCTCAGTGAAGAAATAAAATGGCGGCGGAAATTTTTAAACGTCGCATGGCGCTTGTGATACTTTGCCTGGAAGGTGACGATATGCATTTGGCTCCAGGGATCATTTCCAGACCTCCCGTTGCGCAGATGCTGACACTTCTGAAAGCAACTGCGTCATACGCAGCTTTTATTCATGCGACTTGGGCCCTCCAATGACTATCCACATTTTCCGCTTAGTCAAAGGTTGAGAAAACAAGGTATCAGAGATTGCCTCGCTGCAGTGCGTGACAGAGTCACCAAGTCTTCTGACGCATACCTATTGACACACAAGAAACAAAAAAATCGCGAAAAAACAGTGCCGTGTTCCGCCTCGGTTATTGCAACGAGATATTGCGACGATTCACGACAGCGCATGTCTTCAAAACAACCCTATTCACAAGCCAATACGAGTGTGGTACAAGTGAGAGTGGATACATTTAACGATCTAGCAGTAACCATTTTACTACCTAGAAGTGTGGTTACTTCAAATAACTTTAAACATACTTGGACTCTACTCTCAATACTTATTGCAGTTTTTAAAAACTTGAAACTTGAAAAGAGTTACAATTTCGATCCTTTACCAGTTTAGTTCAGATATGGTGTGTTCCTCGCAGTTGTTAATGACAGGTACGTGATCACGTTTCTGTTAATGTCATTTCCAGTAGTATGGCGTGCTTTGAGACATACCAATTGATCTGCCGTTTAAACCTATGGAAAATAATCGATAGAGAGGGCGTTCGCAATGAACAGCTTAGTAATCGATCTTTTATCATGGCTTCAAACAAGGAAATATCGATTTCCAATCACTCCCGCCTCGGCCTTGCTCGTTTTAAATTTCCCTTACCAGCATTGGTGCTCGTTTTCCGCAATTGCAAAGGCTAAAAATAAGTGCGCTCAAAACGTATTTCGCGATTTTAATTATCCTCAAGTTCGCTGTGGTGACAGTTGGCGGTGGATTCCGTTCTTTTACATGATTCACGTGAAAGCTCTATAAAAAAAAGGCCGAAGATAAAAGTAGGTACCATTTCTGATGTACGTTGTCAGAATTTGACCTCGAAAAAGAAAAGTTAATTCAGAATACAGATGCATCAACATCATAGAATAGGAAAATAAGATATCGCCGTCTTAAACCAAAGCACATGATCTACCGTAATATAATGAATTACAATGGCAGGACACCGCAGATGGAGTCGTCATAGTCCACGGAAAGCCTCAGAATATGTTTAATGACGTTATTTTTCTGGGTTGCTGTTTATATTTCCTTGCTAATTTATTTGTCCCTGAATCTGCTGGGGTTTTCCCTTATTATTGTAAGGACGTAAATCAATTGTGAATGAATTTCATCTGCCACAAACGCTACACAAAATTGCACAATCTTAGCAACATCGCAAGCCTTATACCGAGAAAGCTCTCAATTTCAAAATGATTGATAGTGATCACTGTATTTCATGGAAATCTACCATTGCCTAGATTTGATTTAAACCCTGGTATTCAAACTGAAATACGTTTCAATTAAGACACGATTTACCAAGGCAAAAATGGCATAAAGCTTTTTCTAATTTAAATGAAATTCGTCATAAATCTTTAAATATTCGGTTTCAAATTTACACGAAATAAATCGATCTCACCTGCATATTTATGTTCAGTTGCGAGGATCTTCATGTTGCGCAGCGACATACAATGATAAGAGCGAGATGAAACATAATAGCCCGAATGCACACAACGATAAAAACACATCGAATACAAAGCAAATGAGTTTACAAGGCTAAGAAAATCGAATAAACACAAATTTCGGGCCGATTACATGCCCTTCTCAACTGGAAAAAAACGCAAAAATCAAACAAACCTTAAGTAAACCTCGGTCAACTGCATGCTCATTTTCTTGTTTTACTTATTTAGCTATAGTTCCAATTGAACATGGGCCTGTAATTGACTCGAAACGTTCAGGTTGTGTTTATGCTATTTTCTTAGCCTTGTAAACGCATTTTTTTTTAATACATATAATGTGTTTTTGTCGTTTATGTTGCGTTTGAGCGTTAATTTCAAAGAACTTTTTCATGAATTTTTGAATTTGGCATCAAATTCTACTTTCTTAGCCTTGTAAACACACTTGTTTTGTATTTATTGTGTTTTTATCGTTTACGTTTCGCTTGAGCGCAAATTTGAATGAACTTCTTCATGAATTTTCAAATTTGTAATTTGACATCAATTAATGGATCTTGGACGGATATTTCAGCCGTGAGGATGTTGCTGTTGAGCTTAAGCGTGGCAGCTAGATCTTCGGTTCCGATCACCCAGCTGAGTTTCCAGAAGGGCGACGTGATCGTGCACGGAGGCCAGTACTTCTACCACATCCTCAAGAGGGTGAACCTGCCCCCGTTCCACTCCTTCCTGGCGCTCTCCGACCACGAGCTCTTCTCGACGACCCTCGTCCGCGAGGCGGTCGACGGGAAGAAACGATGGCGTTCGCGGATGCTCCTCGTCGACTCGAGACACTTGAGCTCGCGCGAGAAGGACATCCTCGTCAAGAAGCTCAAGCCCAAGAAAAAGCACAAGACGATTGGAGACGTCGGGGTTGCGCTGGCCTGGCGCTTGATCAAGAGCAATCTCAAGCTCTACTTCCACGCGACGCGCTGCAACACGAACCACTACGTCGACTACGTCACGTACGGCACGACATTCGGCCGCTGGTGGAAGCCGCTCTACATGCCCACGCACCCCAAGTGCCCGCTTCACCTCGTCGTCACGGGTACCTCCAACGTGTCCAACCGATCGGGTCCGGGTTACATCACGGCCTTAAAAACGAAGAAGGGAGAGATTCCGTTGCCGTAGACTCCGTGAGGAAATGCTACCGTCCACGGAGAAAATAACTTCGTGCATGGGACCCGAAGTTGAGGACATATGGATCTCTGAAGTTTTCTGATCACGCATCCGAAAACTTGGGGTCGAGCTGCCGAAGTTCGGATCGGACATCGAGGCACTTCAATATGTACCGGAGTACTTCAGATGTGTGACCCGAACAATTCGGTTTAAATCGAAGTACTTCAGATGTGTGACCCGAACTCCGCCAGCTGGACCTCAAGTTTTTAGATACGTGATTCGAAAACTTCAGAGATCCATAAGACCTCAACTTCGGGTCCCACGCGCAAAGTTTTTTTCTCCGTGTGCTAAGCATGAACGCCGTGAATCCATCAAGATTTTCCTTCGTTTTTTGGAACTCAACACTTTATAAAATATACACCGTTTTATCCATGCACCTCAAAAATTTCAGGTTGAGTTTTTGATACTATTTGCAAAATGGTTCTGTAAAGAAAAAATGTCCGAAGGTACACAAGTTTTTCTGCTATGAGACATTGTTTCCAAAAAATGTAAAGTGGCGTTTACGACGTTTTTACGTTGCGCGGCAGAATGGAAAGTTGCGAAGTTTCCGCACCAAATTCCCGATTTTGACACTGCCACACAAGATCTTAGATTGGCTTTTCCGAACAAAATCCGCAAAAATTTAAAACCGCGAAAATTTAAATCTATACACACATTCGCAACTACGCGCAGATTACTGATTCGCATTTTGCTAAAAGAGCTTCCAGACAATAGGCAACAATTTTTTAAGAGAAAATAATAATATTTCACTCACCTATTGTTCATCGGGGATAGCAGGGTCGCTGATATCTTCACCTCCAGTCTCGTGGTTTTGAAGAACTGACTCTCACTGATGTTTCTTCCGAAAATTTTATTTTGATTTCATACGTCAATGTCAAATGACGTTAGAACATCAAAATACATCGAATGTTTATTTCATACATTCTTCTTAGTTTAATTAGGTAGATATATGACGGAAAATAAAAAAAAAAATTAACCAGATTACTGCGATTTTTCGAACCCTTTTTCTTTTTCTTATCGAAAATAAGACACAAGCGCGATTGAGGGTTCAGATTCAGGACGTTGTAAACGCCCAGTGTTGCTAGGATTCGTAACTCTTTGACGTAAGAACATATTTCGATTCCCGCGGTATGAGCCCTAGAAAGCACGGATTTACTTCTAATTCAGGGCTCACGTGGAAGTTAAGATACGCCCTTAAGTTAGAGGGAAGACGGGTTGTGCATGATGTCATTTCCTGTAAAAGACACCTTGATACACAAGCTATACAAGACTTGTGAGAGGACATTATCTCTAAATTTTAATTTTACGACTAAGACAATCACTGTACGTTCAAATGACAAACAAGTTAAAATGAATCGAAGAAAAAGGACTGCAAGGCACGCAAAGAGTTCCGTGAACGTGGTTAATTTTAATGTGAGTGCGTCCAATATGATTTGTCCTTGAAATAAAAATAGACTCTCCCCAGTTAAAATTCAAGGAAAAAATTAGTTGCGTGTAAGTGTCGAAAACGGCAAAAATAAATATGACATGGTGTTTACCGCTATCGACAAAAATTACCGGGCGGAAGAAAAAATCTTCTAGCGGGAGGACTTGGTTGACAATTTTCACGAGTATCCCGCGCGCTTATACAAGGTTATTCATAAGTCACGCGCACCACTGTTCTAAGTACGATATCGACTTGCGGTTTGAAACGTTTCTCCTCATATCGAGGGGCCAACTTTTGTAGGTACTTTCCAATTTTTGATCCCCTCGGGGCGAGGGGGTGGGCGGTGGGGGGCAACTCAAACATTTCAGATGACTATCCTCCTCATGGCCAGTGGTGCGTGACTTTTGAATAACCGTGTATAACAAACAATCATAGAATGAACATATCAACATGGTATGGTATGCCAAAGTTCTTGTTTTTTTTCGGAGGCAAGTATTTTACACCCACTCCTCCCCAAGCTTTGAATGAATGTTTGCTCGGCTTACCCGCTCACGAAATCCACCGCCGCTACGTGGAATACATAGCTCGTTTAGAGAGGCGTTTTGAAGCGACATTCTGTCCATCATACCCGCACAGGCTGAAATGATTACAGCAGCATAACCTCTATTTCTTTTTAATTTTTTAAATTTTTCCAGTTAATATGGCTTCTATTCCAGTTTAGGAATCTACAGCTATCTATAGACAAAAGTTTAACGTAGAGATTATTTTTGAGCGTTCACCACGTTAGTGGTGTGCGCTCTTTCCGGCCGTTTTGCAGCGGATATGTTAGTAATGGATCCATTGGTAACAGTCCGCACGCTGAATGTGGGAGCTGAATGTGGAAGTCATCGGCCCGATGCCTGAAATTTGCGCGTGACGCGCAAAATTCGGCAACGATTCTCAGCGACCATCGGATAATGTCGGATTTTTCTGAACTGTTCGAATAGATTTGATACACATTTGGATAAAAATAACTTGAATTAGTGAAATTTCCGCTGTTGAGCGTTGATGGTTGACTACCACATTCAGCTGCCAAATTCAGCGTGTGATTATGCGGCATCAGATTATAGGTACGTTGTATTTCCGATTATTTCAACAAAACCAACTCAACTGATGGATGCGCTTCAAATAAAAAGCCTTATAATCGAAGATCCGAGACGCAATCGAAATGTGACAAAAACATTAATTTTGTTTTAGACGGCGGTTCGCTTTTGCATGGAGTGCCGTGGAAATCAGGACAAACATGCGGCAAGATTGCCGCATCATACGCAAAATTAATTACTCTAAGTATGGAAAAGCAACTACAGTGTTCGATGGATACAGCTCGAATGAACCATCAATGAAAGATTGCACACACCGCGGCAGAGGCATGCTTATAACTTCACCTGTTGTGAACTTTTTTCCTCACACAGTATTTGTGGGGACCAAAAGCAAATTTTTAGCAAATCCCGTCGACAAAACAAAAATAATAATCTGTTAAGAAATCAATTGATATCTAATGGATGTGAAGTTGTGAACACCAAAGGAGATGCTGATATGGACGTCGTTAAAGAAGGGGTCAAATCATGCTCTAAAATGAATACCACATGTTCGATCCCGATCGAACAAACTTGGAGCAATTTCAGGAAATTTCATTATACTCATTTTTACCCCCCCCACCCCTCACTCTTGAGGATCCGCTCAATTTTATATATTATTTAATCACCCATTTATTTTATAGAAATAAGTTTAAAATCAATTCACCGGCATTCAAAATTCCATCATCTCCAAGTGTCCTTGTTTGGCACCCGGACTTGCTATTCTCAGAGGGGCGGGCAGCAATTTGCCACTCTTTTGTTTTCGCGACGCGAAGCGCGAAAAGCACCGGCCAATAACCGGAATAGAGTGCGAACAGTCCTTAGGATTACGTCCACTTAATTAACCTGTCACAACCTTCATTTCAAATCCTAGCGCAGCAGCGAAATAGCGGTGTTGAACTAGGTCCTCAACCTTAGAAAATCCTGACGAAGCTTTATGACCGTAAAGCATACCAGGTTCTGAACCTTCGAAAAATCCTAGTACAGTTGCTGCATCGTAATCAAACTAGGTGTAATTCAGATTGACATTCCTGAAATAACGTTTGCTCTTTATCTCGAATTATTTAACCTCTCATTCATAACCTTTCATTTTTTCTTCCTTATGTGAAATGTCTTCCGACGACGAAAATAATGAGGCTCATCTGAACCATGATAATCATGATAACGATGACCAACATGACGATGAGAATCACAACGACAATACAAATGCAGGGGATTTGCAAGGGGTATCCATCGTTGCCAAATTGGCAAACCTCTGCAAACTCGCCCGGAGCACACGCGATGCTTTACGGCAGGTGCCGGACGAGGATGATATAGATCCCTTCTCTCCTTCATCCAAAAGCCTGGAAAAGTATTGCGAACGTTTCGAAACTCTAATGGATGAAGCAATCGAGTTTTCGGTCGCTCACCCTGATTCACCTTTAGAAGCAGATAGACTTCAAGTCGAATTTGAGCGACTTACGCGGGAAGCTCAAACTGAATATCTCAAGCGATCAAAGAAGAACGATACGTCTAAACAACAAGATGCCTCTGGTTTTCAGACGATCATCAATCAGACAATGTTAAACACCGCCTTCAGCGGTTTTAACCCAAAAATTCGCTTGCCAAAATTAGAGTTAACCCACTTTTCAGGTCAAATTGAAAATTGGCGAACATATTAAAACTTATTCCTGGCATCTGTGCACAATTCTCCTCATCTGAAAGAAGTTGAAAACTTTCAATATCCTTTAGGTAGTCTGCGCGGTGAAGCCCTCGATCTAAGTAAGAGCCTTGATATAACCACCGAAAATTACACGGTAGCTTGGAACCTCCTTTGCAAAAGGTATCAGTCCACCAGAAGGCATATTTTCTTTCATTTCGAATCACTTGTATCCAGCACGCTGAAGAAGACAGACCCGGACCTCCCTACGGAAGCAGTTCTTTCCCGGATTAAGAACCTCTGCCCGACGCCCCT